CCCTGTTAAAGTTCTAGCAGTACCGGTTTACAAGTTAATCGAAATTATCAATAACGTAACTTTATAGAAATTATAGAAAACATTTTTGATAAATACAAAATGAGTTGTAATAAATCGATTGTAAAACTTCTTGGAGTAGGATTAATAGAAATATCATGAAAGTTTCGACGTTTTCGATCTTAAAAAAAAAAAAAAAAAAAAAAGCAGAATGATGGAGAATTAGCAAGTATAATGCCATAAAAATCTTCGTAGGGTATAAGCGTGCAAACAGAAGAGATAAAATACTTTCTGTTATCATCAACGGTTGGAAGAAAGAAAAAGGTATGCAAGTATGGTAAACAAAAGCTTGAAAATAACGAAATGTTGGTATACATTAGTCCGTGGCTTTTTCCAAAGTAAAGATTGCTTGAACAAGGCAACGCGTTAATCCTGTTTACGTATCTTGATACTATAATATCTTCGCTCTACTAGAGATCCTTTATTATACGTCCAATTTAAAGATTTACATATTGTTGGCTTCTGTTCGACTAATTCTTTTATTTTTATTTTTCATCGTATCGTTCCATTAAAAATATGTAAAATGTAGAATTTAACGATATAAGAAAGCGTTCTATTACGTATGATGTAATAGTATAATGAAATTGTATGCGGCTGTCATATGACTTTATCTACAAAATGTTTAACGCAAGAAGAATAAAGAAAAGAGGTGAATGGTTTTCAATGGAAGTAGCTAATTCTAATTAGTGGTAAATGTTAGAGGCGATGCATCTGTGTAGATACTTTACCACTTACTTAGAAGATACCTATTACAAAACAGGAAGGGATAGGTTTTGTAAGTGTAGCTTCCACTTAATGAATGGTGGAGTAGATACTTGAAACATTAGCATACGTTAACTATTGCTCGACGTTCGCACGTATCGTAAATGGATTATCAGGTGTCTCTTTAAAATATATTGGGATAATCTTTAAAATTGAATACTTTTTCCTTTTTTTCTTTTTTTTTTTAATTTTTTTATTTCGAGATATACTTTCGCTAATAAAACCGATTTTTAAAAAAATTTATCGTATAAAAATATCTCATTTAGCTTGTGAATATTTCTAAAGTAGAAAACATTTTTAGAAGAGCTTGAAATACTTTTATGAAGCACTGTATCATGTTCTAACGATAAAAGCATCGATAGTAATTAACGTATTAACAGCCTCTCTCTCTCTCTCTCTCTCTCCTGTTTTTTTTATCTTCTTTCACTTGACAACGTCGATCGATTATCAACACTAGTTGCAACGTGCGACGTTGTAATTAGCTTCGTTTAATGACCTCAAGGTATAAAGGTCGGAGACACTGGGTTCTTTCATTCGTTCGTTCATAGAAAATCTCAGCAATTATTTTGACTATCAATTGATTCGATTCGATTCATACTTTAAATGGAATAAAGAAGATAATATACAAATTTTGACAGCTGAATGAATTCAGCATGGTCGTAATCGTAGTTCCCCTTTGGCTTATTAGTTTCTGTTTCGAACTTCTGCACGTACGATGAGGGTTTACCGAAAGGGAGAGTGACGTCAACGGACAAATGAACTGGCAAGATTGCAGAAAGTTGTTAGAAAGAAAGAGACAGAAGGATGGTTCAAAGGTTAGGGGGATGAATACTTGGACGAGTTCGATACAGAAAAATTCGGTAATTTTACGCTCCGTTGAAGCGGATTCTATGCTAAGAGAAAACGAGAGAGAAAAAGAAAAATTGGATTTTGAAAACGTTTGATATATATATATACATATATATATATATATATATATATATATATATATATATATATATATATATATATAATATATTGAGAGAAAGAGAGAGAAAGAAAAGAGAGAGAAATGATGTGAGAAGAAAAGAGAGGGGTCTTGGAGCTAAACGATGTCGCTTCCGACTCGTTAAAAAATCGATAACTCGTTTAGGGATATCAGACAACCGAGTCCATTACTAGTTCGTTGCGTTTGTTATATTTTTCATGGAGCCGAGAATTCATTTGAGAGATCTCCCCCTTCCTTACCATTCTCAATTTTTTTCTCTCTCAATTTTTGTTATCTCGCGAGATCTCTCGTTATCGTTTAAGAAGAAACGAGGCGGGGACGTTTCGATCGTCGCAATACTCGAGTTCTACAGACGATTAAAACTAACGAGTAACGACGAGATGAGAATAGCCGGTGAAAGGAGTCGCGTTGTTACGGCGTAAACGACGTTCCATAGTTCGCTAGTAACATTTCTATTCTCTCTCTCTTTCTCTCTCTCTCTCTCTCTCTCTCTCTCTCTGTCTCTTTCTCTCTCCCTATATATCTATCTATATATATATATTTACTTTCTTTACAGATTTTTTCATTTTTTCTTCTTCTACTTTGCCAAGCGAATTCCAGTAATGGTTAAATTCCTGTTTGCACTATATAGAGATGCCTTTCTTTGCTTAAATAATAACTTTACTAAGGAACAAGTCACAGGAAACGATCAAGAAACAAGGGTGAGTCGATTGAGATAGATAGATAAATAGAGAAGGAGAGAGAGAGAGAGAGAGAGAAAGAGAAAAGAGAAACAGACAGACGTACAGACGGAACAAAAGAGAACCAACAAGAGCCAAAAGAGAAGTTGAAAATACGAGAATGAGAACCGAGAACATAGTGGAGTTCGATTTTCTTCGATGGCAAGAACAAATCAATAAGAAAGAGAGTTGGGAAGTAAAGCTTGACTTTCCAATTTCTTTTTATCTTTTTTAGTCGATCCGCATAGTCCTTGATCTCGGAGGAAAAACATAGTCCACCAAAAATAATGATACAAAGGTAAATCCTTGATCTTTTGTTTTTTCTTACAAAACAAAAAAGATCGATTAAATAAAGGAAAAAGTATTATATAGTATTATATGTGTAAATATATATAATGAAAGTTTGTCAAACTTCGAATATTTCTTGTATGTCTTCTTTCCATTTATTATTTAATATCAATAAAAATATCACGAATAAAGGTAATAAATAGGAAATTCGTTTTATAGTATTACACGATTTAAAAATGTACTTTTTATTCGGGAATCCAATTAGCTTTAAACAAGGTCGACGTGTATTGGAGAACGTTCGATTCTTTCAATATGAATAATATATAACATTTATATATGGAAATTGCTAACGCGTGTATTTTTGAGATGAAAAAAGGAAATAAGAAGAGAAACAGAGAACAGTTTTATTTTTTTTTTTCTTCATCGATTCAACTCATTCACAATGAAATATTTGAACAAAAATCATTCGATGTTTATTCTCGTCGTAGCGATTAATCAATCAATGTCGATGTAAGTTTAAAAATTGCAAGTCGAACATTTTTAAGTATGTCAACGTTTCTCCATCTAACCGTAATTAAAGTATCAATTGAAAATTAACTTCCTCGCTTCAGTATGTTCGACGTTGTATTGCAGTGCATATTCATACAAAAAAAAAAAAAAAAGAAAGAAAGGAAGAAAGAAAGAAAAAAAAGGGAAAAGACAGAAGAACGATAGGCGAGAGCCGATGAAGGGCAATTAATTTAGGTCGACGCATAAAACCCCGACGATGATCGAGCTCTCTAATAAAATGAAAATTACGATGCGATAATGAACGGTTTTCGATATCGCGCAGCGCTTTAATTGACGGTCTATTTAATTTATCGTAGGGGAAATGCGTAACGCGACTATGAAATTATCGTCGCATTACGTTTCGGATTCAACATTAATGACAGGAAAAAAGAGGGTGGGGAAAGGGATGATGATTACGATGGAAAATCTGATTTTCGCTTTACTACGGGAATTTCAATGCGTATACGCCAAGTGAAAAAAAAATCAAATTAACATAACGAAAGTCGTGAAAAGGAAAAAAATGAAGATGAAAGAAAATTTTAAATAGGAAGAAGACAAAGAAGACGTTTGTTGTTCCGGTTTTCGTCGTTTAGGAGAATCTCAAAAACATTCTTTGCCTACTTCTCAGGAGTTTTCCAATTAAAATCGTAGAACGTAGAGAAAAAGTTTCAGGGAAGATAGAAAAAGCTGGTGAGAAGAGAGGGAGAGAGAGAGAGAGAGAGAGAGCGGGAGGAAGGGGAGTATTGGATTTGAAATGTTCGGGTGCTAGCAATATCCTCAAGGCCTCTCTTTGCATTCCGTGAGAGAGAAAAGCTCGTTCGACGGGCGTGCGAATAAAGCCACGAAAAACCGTGGAGTTTGCATGCCGAACCGCATGCGTTCGATATTCCGATATCCTGATATCATGGGGAGGGTCTAGAACGCCTTCAAGAGTGTTTCCCTTCAACTTTGCTTATATACATTGATATCTATACATAGAAGGCACATATACCCGTGTCTCTATGGAATTTATTATCTGCTTTTGGTTCTTCTTTGGGCTCAGTCTTTCACAGTTTTTTTCTTCTTCTCTCAACCTTCTTCTTTCTCTTTCTCATTCTATCTCTCTCTCTCTCTCTCTCCCTCTATATCTACTCATCTATCCCTTTTACCCCTTCAAACCACCTTGTCTGGGGTTTCAGAAGAGTTTCTTTTACCTTATACTACGACCGTAAGACGAAAAGATTTCTTAGTAAGACCCTTGGCTACATAGGAAGTATAACGCAGGTTTGGGTATCCTCCTCGCGAGTCCTAATCGCACTTTCGCGAAAGCGTTTTCTTTCCCTTGCCATCGAAAAAATCCCTTAATCGATCGTCTTTCTCGAAAGGAAAGAAAGAATATGTGTGTGATATATATATATATATATATATATATATATATATATAAAGTTGGAAAAAATTTATCCTTCGAAGGGAAAAAGAGAATAGGGCTTTTAGGAATGATGTACGAGCATCGTGGTAAACCTGTGTGATTAGCTGAAATGGTCGTTATACGTTTTTACTGCTTTCTCGTAATCTGTTTTGGTTATCTTTCTTTTGATAAACAGTATTAATACCATTGATCGTTTTAATATGAACGTTTGTTCCTTTCTCTGTTGTAGGTAGATAAGAATAAAAAGAGGGAAAGGAAAAACAGTTTGGGCGATATCAGAAAGAGGACATCGAGGATCGGCAGTGAAAGAAAAATAAGGAAGATAAGAGAAAAGGACCTTAGGTGGATTTTATGAAAAGGCGAAAAATGCGATAGAGATTGGTGAATGGTCGATGAAGCATCATCATGTGCTCGAGTGTAAGAGCTTGGTGGTGGAGGGGAGCTCTCTTGGGCACAATGATGCTCGCTTGGACTTGTATCGTCGAGGCTTGCCCGAGTATGTGTGCCTGCAAGTGGAAGGGTGGAAAGGAGTGGGTGGAGTGTGCGAATCGAGATCTGAAGGGACTACCACAGGGTGCCGGAGAGGAGACTCAGGTGTTGGATCTGTCGGACAATCACCTGGTCAGTTTACCACCGGAATGCTTTCACGCTTTGGGACTGATCAATCTTCAGCGACTCTATCTCGGTAGATCGCATATCAGTAGAATAGCCGTGAGAGCGTTCGAAGGGTTGGTCGGGCTGGTTGAGTTGGATCTGACAGAAAATCTGATCGACGAGATACCAACGGAAAGCTTTTCGTCTTGCCCAAATCTCATGAGGCTGACGTTGAACGGTAATCCTATAGTGGAGATCAAAAGGGGCGCCTTTCATCGTCTGGTGCATCTGACGAATCTGGAGTTGAGCCATTGCAGACTTGAGATCATCGAAGAAGGTGCCTTCGATGGTTTGCATTCCCTCGAATGGTTACGTCTGGATGGTAATCGATTGACGTACATGCCAAATCATACCTTACCACTCGGTGGTAGCTTTCGAGGATTGACATTACACAATAATCCTTGGTTGTGCGACTGTGGCTTGAGAATTCTGCAGGCTTGGCTGAAGGAATCAGCACCGGCAGCTCCTCAGGAATCTGAACCTATTTGCGATATGCCAGTTCGTTTACGAGATAGACAGATAAAAACGTTAAAGGACAACGAGCTCGCGTGCCTACCGCGGATTGAGTTGCAGGAACGTGTCGACGTATACGAGGGTAGCAACGTGACATTCCAATGCAACGTCCATGCTATACCGGCAGCTACGATCACATGGTGGTTCAACGGAGATATCTGCGAGCTTCAGAATGAGAATGATTCCTCGACGATGAACTTCGTAACTTTTCAAAGGTAAGATATTTTTTTTCTATTAAAATCATTGCGCTCGTTGATTGCATTTTTCTTACGGTTGTTGGATCACAATGGTTCACAATCGAGTCCGTCCTCTTTCTGATCTGTTACAGATACATCTATAGGCAACGTGGCTCGACCAACATGTCGAGCACTCTGTACGTATACTCGGTGGAGGCTAACAACGATGGCGTCTATAGTTGCGTCGCAGAGAACACTGCTGGTACTACTGGCGCTAACGTCACCCTGAAGGTTCTGTTCCGTGAAAAGGTAACCGCGGAACCTCCATCGGACGATCCAGGTTCCGGTTATGTAGCAGCGATAGCTGCTGGCGCGCTAGTAGGCACTCTCTTCGTTCTTGGCTGCGTGGTCGGTAGTATTGTATTTTGCGTGCGGAAACGTCGACGCGATCGGAAGAGGAATTCCAAGGCATTGGTCTCGCAAAATAAATCGGTGATGCCTATCACGAAGGATACAACGACGAGTCTGCCAAGTTGTAGAAAGGGTAATGGCAGTTTGGTTGGTTTCGAGCATCAACAGATCGTATCTTACACTGAACGCGAAATTGGCAGAGCTGCGACCTTGGAACGAAGAGAACAACGTGGTGGTAATTTGGAAGAGTCCTATGGTAGTCCGGTATCAAAGTATTTAACAGAACCGGACTTGATAAATGAAGTTCCTGAAACCACGGACGTGACCTATGGCCAATTATACCGTCATCAGACAAACGAGAGGCACGTACTCGAATACGACTCTGGTTATCCGATACAACCACCGGACTTACGTCCATCGAATATACCGCAATTGAGTTACTTGGATCAGGATGGATATCCTATAAATTTTGGCCTGCCAAAGATCTCGTTCAATAACGCGAGTACGCTTCCACGTTTAAGGACAAGAATGGCAGAGGGTTCGGCCGTTGCCCCACCGGCTAGATACTCGAGAGAAGCTGAGTTCTTAGCTAGATCGACGGCAGGTTATGATCCAGTTTTACCTAGAACCGATGCTAGATACACTGCCGAAGGTTATCCGTACCCTCCTCATCAACCAGTTGAACAACCAATACAGCAGCAGCTTCAACAACCCGTCGTCTCGCCCGTTGTCTCGCCTGCCTCAGTTTTTCCAGAGGTTCCTTTCATACCGTCACCACCTGCTGCTTACAGAGGCGAAACCACACCACTATCACCGAGATCTTTACTCGGCAAGACTGCACGTGAAGCAGCCGCTGCTGCTGCTGCCAGGGCGGACGAACTTCAGCCACCTCATCATCCAGAAAGTCCGGACGAAGGTTACGTTGGCGATGCCATGGACGTTTGAAAATTATCACGAATTTCATCGTGCTCAATTGATCGATACAAAAAACGGTAAAGACGGTGGGATCGATTTCTATTTCATTCGGATGACCAAATCTCTCGTTCCAAATGTTCCGCTACTCTGTGCTTCCATCATCGATTTTTGTTAGTTGTTTTCTTTCAATTCCAAATGACGAGTAAAACAGTCGAAAAGGAAAATGGAAAAAGAAAAAGAAGGGAACTATGATCGATTGATCCGAAAGAATAGCCATACGAAGTATTAATAATCGTTTCTATCGTTGGACCATTTAAACTCATTTTGATCGACATCGAAATAAACGAAGATCGAGCTGTGGATTTATGTGTTCGATTTAAAGACATTTCATCCACATATCGTGTAGTAAATTTTGTGGGGGCAACATCGTGCTATTACTTCGTACACTCACAGCTCTCTATCATCCATCGTCTTTCTATATCCTTCGAAATGGGTCGACGTCGTCGTTGACATAGTCGTTCTCGGCCATCGAAATGGGCGTTAAGACGACATCGAATCGGAGGAAGCATAGAGGAAGCTCGAACAAAGGAGGAATCCCACTGTCGGTACCGGTCCTACGAAATTAATCAGCTAGGAGAGAGAATATCTGGAATTCTCGGACTACGACGACGACGACGACGACATGTCTCTCTCTCTCTCTCTCTCTCTCTCTCTCTCTCTCTCTCTCTCTCTCTCTCTCTCTCTCTTTCTCTCTCTCTTTCTCTTTCTCTTTCTCTTTCTCTCTCTCTTGTGAGATCATAATTTCTTGTCATAGACACGTCTCTTGACGTTCGTTGCAGAATGCTTCGAATCGAATAATAATAATCGGTCGACGTAGATCTCTACGTAGATCCTCATATGGCCCCATAGATCCTCTTCGGCCCCTTTAAGGAACGGGAATCTATTCGTAAATCATTCAACGAATATAATTATCGTTCGACGATCAAAAAGTCAACTGTGAAACAGATTATAATAATTTCTCTGACAAATGACAGTGAAATATGTGCGACGTATATAGATATATATATACATACTTTCGACGAGATGATTTGAAAAACAAAGAGATAGATAGAGAGGTGATTAACGATAAGAGAAAGATCAACGACCTAACAAGTAATTATCTACACGACACTGTACGTACATACGTATATACGTGAAATTCGTTCGATCGCAAAACTTTTCACCATCCTCTTCACCCTCGTCTCATCCCATCGATAACTTCACCTTTTTTAGACGTACTAAGTAAACCAATACGATTAATGGAACTTCGAGACATTTTCTGGGACGAAAAAAGAAAAAGAAAATAAAAAAAAAAAAAAGGAAGAAGAAGAAGAAGCAGGGATTTTGCGGATGTAGTCATTCTGCTGTAGTGATAATAATGTTAACTCGGTGTTTAAGACTGCCGGATTGGAGGTAACGTCGAATTAACAGGACGATAGATATTACTGGTGGTTACTTTAAATATCTAATGTACAGAGACTGTCGGGTATACATATAATATGTACGTGTATTATACACACATACGTATATATATATATATATATATATATATATATATATATATGTATATATATATATAATATGCGATGAAACTTTTGAACGGTGAAAGTAGTTATTTTTTAAAAAGGAAAGAATCATCGAGCCAATTCTACGATTTTTTCTTTAATGGACGTCTTGAAAAAATTTGTATAAAAACGTTCGACACGATCTGCGAAGGACATTCGAGAGAATAATATAATAACGCGAATTCGTAATTATGAGTACTATGCCAAATTAAAAATTGTCTTTATCCGCGTGAAATAATCGTCACGTTAAATAATTAACTCGAATGTCCACGCAATAAATTAACATAACGTACATTAGAAAGAAGAAGTTTAATGTATAATCGATAAAGAATCATCTCGTAACGAAGGAAACTGGAGGTGTATTCGAGATAAAAAGAAGAAAAGAAAGAAGTGTGAGAGTGTGAGTGTGCGCATTGATTACAAGACGATATCGGACTTTATATATACATTTATGTATATATATATATATATATATATATATATATATATATGTGTGTGTATATCATCGAAATAAGAAGAAAAAACACCCTGTCTACATCGAGAATCGACGTTCTATTATTTTTCGTCGGACATTAAAACCATTTAAACTTAATTTTATTCTTAAAGGACATATGCGACACACACGCACAAACACACACAAGTACACATTGACACATATACACGGTCGTTCGATTGAGATCGTTCAATACTTTGCGGTCCATAATTACTATCGACGTTCCTTCTTCGTCAATCAATCGATATTAATTTATCATTGGGTTTATTTTATTTACAAGTATTGTAAAAAAAAGTAATTATTTGTGAAGAAAATATTATTCAAATTTTTCCAATTTTCTAATTAGTATAATAATTTCAAAATGAACGTGTATATAATAATTCGCTATAAGATGTATTAGAATAAAGTGTGTTAAATTAAAGTCAACATTGGACCGCAAAGAAAAATGAAAATGTAAGCCTAACATGACTTTTATAGAAAAAAAAACAAAAAAAAAAAAAAAAGATCGAAAAATTTGTAAATTCCATTTTTGTTATAAAAGTTCACCTAACGTATAATTTTCTTCTTCGTTAACCCATTACCAAAGTCTCACAATTCATTATAAATTCGAAGAAAAGGGAGACGAAGTTTATCTTATTGTCAGACATCGTCTCTTATCTTTGACATTTCCTCGAATATACGGAAAGTTGAGTTTGGTTTACGCATTATAGGAAAGATCGATCTACGTTCTCACGGCCGTTCTCGAGTTTAGTAAGTTTTTAAGTAAATAGACAGAACGTTATACGCGTGCACGCGCAGAAAGAGAAGTTAGAAAGAGAAAATCGGAAAGGGAGATAGAGATAGACAGAGAAAAAGAGAATATGTATATGTGTGTGAAAGAGAGAAAGAGAGAGAGAGAGAGAGAGAAATATATATATTCACGTATAGTGTCCTATAATAGACATATATACGTGAAAATCGCGCGCGTAGATTCAACTCGATAGAGACTCGAACGCGCGCGCGCGAGCGTGCGTTCTACAGGGTAATAAGAGATGGAAGTGTGTTGTGAATGTTAAGTTCCATTGCGAATGTATATGTATATTATGACGTTATAGGTGTTTGTAAACTCTGATATAAAGTGAAAGAGGACAAACGTGTAAAACGAAAATCACGACACAAAAAAAGAACATGGATTTTTATAGATACTTATAAACATTATCATTTTCTTTTTTCTCTCTCTCTCTCTCTCTCTCTCTTTCTCTCTCTCTCTTTTTTTTGATGATATCACCTAGATTTATATTGTTTATTTATTTATTTATTTACTTAATTTGTTAGTTCTGTTAATTATTTCGTTCGTTCACTTCTTTTTGAATTTCTTTTTTTCTTTTTTTGCCATCACGTACACGCACAAATATATGCGCTCGTATGTGCTGATCGATCGCACACATAAATAGATAAATAAAATGGGAAGGATGAATGAAAAATTGTTAAGAAAATTTTATTGGATTATCGACTAGAAAAGATAGAAAAGGTAAAAAGAAAAAAAAAAAAAAAAAAAAAAAAAAAAGAAAAATATGTTTCCAGCGAATTTTCTGGTAAATTTGTTACGAAAATAGAACATTATTAGTCGAAAACGCTGATTCGCGTAAAATTAACTTGGCAATTAACGTGGTAAAGAACGAGTCATGGTACTTACGGATTCCTACACGCGAAATTTTTTCGCGTTCTGCGTTCCTTTTCTCTTTATATATTTTTTCTCCCTCTTTTCCTCGTACAAATGTACCCATTTACATAGATCTTTGTTTTTCTTTTACAGTATTCTCGTTGTAGATTCCAAAAGTCGCTCACTGGCACTCTCTTCTGTACATACGTACGTATGTACGTACAGTCGAGAGAAAACAAGAGAGTTCACATTTTTACGAGGACTGCCATTTTAAGTACATACGTCCAAACGATTGTACACATTAGCCCATTTCGTAAAACGTGTCCTCATGATGAAGAGAAAGAGAGAGAGAGAGAGAGGGAGAGAGAGAGAGCTCATTTCACGGCCCATATTTTTTATCATCTCTAACAGAAAAAAAAAAGAAAACAAAAAAAGAAAGATTGTAAAGAATTAAGAATTTAAGGAGGAAAAATGAAGAATCATGAAAATTTTCATTTCACGAGGACCATTCGTTTTACATATCTACATATATTATATTTCCTTATATACGTTTGACCATTTCGTTTATTTCCCTTTTCGTTAAAAATCATCTCCCTTTCTTCAGAAAAAGGATATTTGTCCTCAAGCTTGCTCGCATCGGTCTGTTTGAAAAATTTACAAGTATCTCCCTAGAGAAAAGTAGTTGTCGCTTCCCATGGGATTTCTCATCCCTATTCTATGCAAACGAAAGAAAGGCAATATCTATTTTTACAACGATCTTCTCGTTACATGATCGGTTTCACTCGTTTTCTAGTTTTTCTTCTATTCTTTTCTATCCTTTTTCCTTTCTATCTTTTTTCTCGTACAAGTATACTCGTTCTTGCAACTTCTTACATTCTTCTTACTTCCCTCCTTCCACTTTTCGTCTTTCTTATCTCAAAATCGGTTGAAGTTACTCATCCCGTATATTCAAAGTTTTCCCACATTTTACGAATAATGAGTAACGAATGACGAGAAAAGTTTTGTTCGTGAATGAGTATTACTTTTTTTCTTCTTTCTTTTTCTCCCCCTTGGTCCCTATAGTAATTATGAACTCTATTCGAAAAATCTGTTCAAACGATCACGGTATTACTTATTTAAAATGGTTCGTAATAATTTTTCAAAAGGAGAGAGAAAAGATGATGTATAAAAAAGAAGCAAACAAAATCTTATTAAGAGTAACAAAATTATTCAATAAAAAGTTTATCGGGAATTAATGTCGAAGTCATTCCGTCTAGATGTGAATATGATTTACACGGTAAATGGATAAAATTCGATATGTTTCATGACACCTAAATAAAGTTGAAAAAAGAAAGCATAACTCACTTGATCGATTTATCATTTTCCATAGGTCGAATATCGCGTGCTGATACCAACGAGAATACGGAATCCTCGTAAAGTCCTCTACATAACTGATTGAATTGGGAATACTTTTATCTATAGATATATACATATAGACATTCTCGTTAACGATAACTTATCGTTCCCGGACTGGCCGGTATTAATTATTAGGGAGTGCGCGACGATTATATGCGCGCAAGCCACGAGAATTTAATTAATACCTGGCCAACCGAGCAAACTCACACGTACGTATATACATACATATATATATATATATACATAGGTACATATATGTTATATATATATATATATATATATAATATATATAATATATAATATAATATATATATATATATATGTGTGTGTATACACATTCTCTTTCTCTCTCCTAGTGTCTCTCTCTCTCTTACATACGTATACATATCGAGCAGAATTTCGCTTAACAATGGCGTCGAAAGCACCTGCGAGCATCCTCGCTCGAATTCCAAGCTCTCCTTTTTCTTCCCTTTCTCAACCTTCTCACAAAATTTACGTGCCTACCCCGAAAGAATAAGGGCGTTGGTGGTAAAAGAGAAGAAGGGTTTAACTTTCCTACCTTTCTCTCTCTCTCTCTCTCTCTCTCTCCTTCATTTCTCTCTTCTTTTTTTTTGGTCTATTATACCTTCCGTTTCCACCCACGTACGGCGAATTACACTCGGTCATTTGCGGTTATCCTAAAAATGTGTGTGTGTGTGTGAGTGTGTGTGTGAGTGTGAAAGAAAGAGAGAGAGGGAGAAAGATAGCGCATTCTTTTTTCTCTTAACATTCCTTCCTTCTTTCCCAGCGGAGAGACGTTAATTACAAGCAACATGGCGTTGTACTTGCTCGTTGGTAACCTAAGTATTCTGACCGCCATTTTCATAGCCATTTTCTAAAACGCTAATGTGGCTCTTCAAAAATTTGATGATAAGAAGGACTACTTTTTACTCATCCCTTCTCCCTCTCTTTTTATCTTTATCTGTTTCTTTTTGTTGTTTGATAGTCCAAGAGAAAAGCTATTATAAAAAGCGGTCTTTCTTTTTTTTTTTTTTTTTTTTAGTACTTGTACATTTTCGAGAACTCCCTTCTCTTATTTATGGTAAATTATTAAAGGCCTTGTTCTTTTCTCTCCTATGTTAAGGTCTTGTTCTATCTATTACCTCGGTCCATTTATCAACTCATCTATCCTTCTCTCTTTTCATCGATTTACAAAGATCGAATACGCGACGCGTTACGCGATCGACGCGAACGAGAAGAAGTGAAGGAGACGAAGGAGAAGGAGAATCAATTTATCGTTTCTCCGTTCTCGAATATATCGACGCGCGATATCTCTATTTTTCTTCGTCCCTGAAATGGATACTGCCGCTAGAGATCTTTTTCTAAGAGAGCGAGAGATCGTTCGAT